ACAAATGAAGAAATGAAAGTAATCGAGGCTGTTCATTGGTTCGAGCCCAGCCTTTCCCTATTCAGCATGGCAAAGTGTCCCTGGGAAAAATATGTACATCTGTGAGATAGCTAGCACATGGATGTGCTTTATGAATGTGTGTTTGTATGGATGGATGCAAAACTCTACTGTTAAGTGCTTTGAGTGGTCATCAATATTAGAAAAAAGCTATACAGAGCTTTTACAAATGTACTCTGTAGTACACTCACAAGCTCGCTATACTACCTGAGTAAAGTGGAGGCCAGAGTCTGAAACGTTGATTTGTAATCTGAGTTGCACATTTCACCTTTATTAAACCTAAATGGAGTTTAAGTACAAATATTATTCTGACACTACATTAGATGTTGTGTAGACTAATTAGAAGTTAAGTGTGTTTTTGTAAAAAAAGTAATGTAGGAGGAGTGAAAACTTAAAAAACAGGAAGAGAAAAAAAAAACTGAGGCCGATGTGAGAGGTTAACAAAGTAAAAAGACACAGAGCAGAGATTATGATTTGGACCGCTTCACATAAAGATCCATTGAATATCAAAGCTCACTGACATGCACAGTGCATTTCCATGCCACAGCGACTTCGAGCAGTGTCAGTACAAGTCGAGCGTCTGTGCCAAAGCGATGCCTTTGTTTAATTCCGTCTTGACGTGTCAGGAGAGATGTCACCCATATGTAAAGATGATCCATTTTCTCTGCTGCTCTGCCACAGGCCCCTATAGAAACAACAAGCTGCAGTGCTGCACCGGAGGTTCACATTTCCTGCGATAGTTGTCAAATGGTAGTTGCTATAGCTTGACAGTATCAGGGATGTGACGGAGACGAAAGTTATTAGAGAATGCTTTCATTGTTGGGAAATGCATGTCCAGGTGAAAGTTTCTAAAATACTACTTTCTCAACATTTACTGACATTTTCTTGCACAGTAGGTTGATGTAATTCTAAAGCAGGTATAAGACACAAATGATGAATATTGGGTCTGGATATTTGCCGGACTCTGCCTTCACATATGAAGAAAGCAGCAGGAGGTTGTCCGGGTCAGACACGTTCACGACAACAGGAAAAAGTCTGGGGTAATTAGGTTTTCAGTATCTCGACACCAGCTTTGGCGCTTATTGCCAATTGGTATCTTTGTCGGCATCCTCTACGTGTATGTCTCCTCTTTCTCACGCTGAGATATTGAATTCCTCTTGTTTTTCTCACTTCTGCATCCATCACGTGTTAGAGACATAATCAACCCACTGTATTCTCACACTGACTCACTTGGGCATTTTCCGGACATTTTACGAGGGCACTGGCAGGAAAAGCTACAGAAAAGGTCCAGAGCAACTGTGCTCTCTCACTTACAGATATCCAGAGTTCCTTGCATGTCTGAAAGCAGTTTAAAAGTGACGGTGAGGAAGTACTCAAACCGAGAGCTGTGCGTGGCAATTTTAGAATAAAATGATTTTAGGCTTAGATGTTAAAGCTCATCACTGAACTCCCAGTGATTCTGTGATGACTGTAGCTTTCACTTTCTGCTCTGAGAAGTCATATACGTTTTTTTGAGACACCACTTCCTGATGGGTGCTTATGATGCGATAGCAGCGGTATTGCCATTATTGTCAGTGGTTGGTATGAGCCTCTGGGGCCTGACAGCAGGACGATTACGTACAGCACAGGGATTACAGCCCCTAATCTGCCTGCCAACCCAACTCGAGGAAAAACAAACGAGAGATCATGATCATGGAATACTGATGGAGGGATGCGGGAAACATGATGGAAATAAAAGAGGCGATTGGTTTTGGACCACACGGCATCGCTTCAGCCATTTGGAGGATTTTAAAAACCTGATGTGGGAGACTGACGAAAAGTTTGTCAAGTGAGTTCTTATACACTGTGTGTGTGTGTGTGTGTGTGTGTGTGTGTGTGTGTGTG